GTGAGCCTATATTCTTTTATTTCCTATACGTACCCATGTTTTATTACAGAAATAATTAAAAATGAAATATTCTATTAATACGAGTATATTCAAGTTGAAAAATGGTCAAGATTATAGTTTTTATAAATCACTCAATCTAAAGTGTATTAATTGTTTCCGAAATAAATAAAAACGTAAAACATTCTTATCTATAAAAATATTTGTAGTTAACTACAGTTTATGTGTATATTTTAAATAAATTCTATTCAAAAAAAACATTATTTTGTATATTTTAAAATAATTATTATATAATAATAATTATTATATATATTATATAATTTAAAATAATTGGAATCATTTATATATAATTTGTTATAATTTAAAATTCTATGTTAAAATAAAATAAATGACTTATATTATGTTAAAATATAACCAAGTTTTTTTTAATAAATGTACTCAAACTAGGTAAGTATATATTATCTAGTAAAAATTAGTGCAGAATATTGTTAAATAAATAAAATTACTGTTCGTATCTATATGTAAGTATTTTTTTTTTCAATATAGAAAATTTGATGATTTTCATAAATAATACAGATAAAATTTCACGGTTATCAGATTTCTATATGTATATAAACTTTTTAACAGAAGGATCGATTGTATTGTATTGTATTTATCGATTATATACCAATAAAAAAATATTTCATCTAATTGAGTTTAGCAAGTGGTTAAACCAAGTTTGGCTAAACTGTCGGAAGTCGATATAAACAATAGCAAAGTATCAGTAGATTTAAAAAAATAGTAATTTGGGATTATTAAAGTCTCAGATGACACTGTAGCGATAAATACGCTGTCATGATTCAACGACTTCTGCAACATCAATCGACCAGATCGTGATGTGTCAATTTGGTAGACTATTCAGTTAGGAGATGAACCAAGTAAAAATATACAATTGTGTGGTTAAAATGGATGTTATCGAGTAGGCGGAAAAATCGTCGGAGACAAAGAAATTTTACCTGTTAATCTTCCGAGATAGAAGCGCATTATAATCTTTCGCAAGAAAACATTTAGCAACACATTAAGTTTTAAATTCTCTGTTTTGTGGTTTATGCATAATTGAGCCTACACAGAGTATTCAACATTGCAACACGCTCAAATGTGAATAACAATAGATAATGATTTTCTTTTTCGGCTAATTTGATGTTACTTATATAACCGCACGAATGGCTTACGAGTATATCAGACGACTGGCGTAAAATGATTCGCACTTCATATTTAAAACGTTGATATCTTACTACAAAAAACGTGTGTGTGTTAAGTTTTTGAATACACTGTTCCACTGAAGTTTTTATTATCTAATAGATTTTTACTCGCTCGAGTTAAAAATCCTAAAGTAATAATATTTTATTCGATCAATAGTCAAAGAAAATCAATTTTACAGTATTTGAATAATATTTTCAGAAAAAACCTACGACTATAAATGTAAAATTAACGCATATAAATGGAAAATCATCGTTCGATTATTGAGATATTTTGAAATATAATTATATAATTTTTATAAAATGGTCCAACAAATGATTTTTCAGCGACTAGATATTTAAATTATTATTTAAATAATTTAAGTAGCTCATTTCTAAACCTCAAAGTTCCACTTTGAATTATTTTTGTGTATGTAAATTAAACATTATAACAATTTTTCAAACATTGAAAGTTCTTTTTAAGTGTATTTAATTTGCTCACTAATTATGGACTTACATCTAAATGCAGGCAAAAATCATAAATTTATAATATTATCTGTACAAATATTAAAAACGACTGTATTTTGAAAATAATTCTATTCAAATTATGAGTTATTAGATTACTAAGTTTTTTATATGCATTGCTTTCATTTTTTTTTGTTCGAAAATTTAAATAAAAGTGTGAAGACGTTTTCCTAAAATTATAGGTACAATCATATACGCACATATTATAAATACGTTACAGTGTACACTCAGTACAATATACAATTGCTAAATATTTCAACCCTACTTTCTAATAACTTGATTTTCATTATTTTGTATGAATTAACATATGTACACTATTTATGTAAATACTATAATTATGAACATTCAGCACGAATCTTGGTGTGTGACTGTACTTTTAAACCTCACCCAAAATGTATTAAAATAAAAATATCCCATTATTCGTGTAATTATTTAAATCATAACTTATTTGTATCTATGTGGACATTAAACAATGTTATTGTTATTATAGAATGTGTTTCGGAGTAATTTTAAGACAGAACGAATAAAAAATAAAACGTATACAAATCGATAACTGTTTTTCGTGAGCAATGTAGTTCCATCAAATCGCATTCAATAAATCAATCATACCATGGGCATTGATACCAATTATACTATTTAACACACTTATTATAATAATGTCTTTACTTATCAAATTCGTCTACCAAAATATATAACTGTTATCATTGGACTCTTAATAATGGTTCTATGTTCATTTGGTACATGTATAAGTACTCGTGAAATATTATTGGATAAAAAATAGCGAACGTTATACTTTAAAAAATTTACTGGTTACTCGCAGAGATTTATTATGTAGAATCATGTATTTTATTGAACCTATCTAATATATTGTTTATATTAAATATTTTATATAAGAATAGATTTTTCTACAACTGACCGTATAATTCTCAAGGTATACGTGTTGATATGGTGTATTATAGACTATCTCCAAGAAAAACTATTAATCTCGTTTTATTTATTTTTTTTATTTACTTCTCCTGATTACTATTATTTTAACCGTGAAATCGCATTTTACTTCAACAAATATTGGAACGGTATATTATTATTTATTGTTAGAAATATCAAAATTTAAAAATAAATAAATAAAAGTTATTATATTTTGGAAATTTAATTTAATAATGCACTGGACTGTTGATATGGAATTAATATAAAATTTGGTAGTAAATATAAAAGGAAATTTAAGTTTAAAAAATGTTTCACTTGGTATGTAGAACTATGTAAATGTAATCTCACATTGAATAATATTATTATACACATTTGTGATAAATTTTAATTTTTAGTTCATAATAGTTATAAAATATTAAACAAATTTTCAATCTTAAGTCATAAGAATCACTTCAAAACTTTAGACTTGGGGTAGTTACTGTTACTTGCACGTTGAATACCTTATAGTTTATAATTATAATGTATTATACAATTATATATAATTTTTATTTCTACTTTCATTTATATTCATAGAAAATTTAACTACGATTTTAGGTTCAATAATACAACAGAATAATATACATCATAAGAAATGAATTATTCATTAAACCATTACATTTTAAAGATGATCACGACATGGGTTGTCCAACATTTATAATGACGACTATGTGAAAATTATTTTAGAAAATTTAATGTTGAGATATGTACATGTATTAAAGCAATAAATCTGACGGTAGTCGTCACGACTGTTTAACAAGTGGCTCAAAATTGTTGAATGGTTCTTTTATTCATTTTATTAATATGTACGTGTCGTCGAATTAATAATTAAACAATAAATGTATTTTGATTTTATATACCTGTATGTCATTGAGTTTGAGTATCTGAAATGGAAGTTCTCACGATAATGTTTACCTTCAGTATTTTATTTATATGTATCTTTCAATATACATATATACCTATATATATTATACTGATACTTATAGAAATTTAAATTGTCAAATATCAACATAACATCTATAGTGAATTCTTTTAATAAAACTAATTTAAACATATGATATTATGTTAATCAGTATTATTTTGTTATGAATAAACTATAATCTATTTGCTATGATAGTATTATAATTTCGTAAAAAATAATATTCCAATTACTGCTGATTGTGTTTATACCATGTTTACACATACAAGCTGTTATGAATATTAATGCTTTAGCTTAACAATGACAATGTAAAATATAAATATCTTTATCAAACAGTGTAAATTATAAAAACGTTGTAAATGTATATATATTTTTTTTCTTCAAAAAAATCCTTATAAAAGTTTTAAAACCCCATACTATAATATTATGCTAACTCATGAGAAACGTACTTTTTTGAGTTATACACCGTAAGGAGAATCTTACGTGCATCGGTAGCGATTTGTTCGGTTAAATCCGAAACGGATTTCCTGTTACTCCAAATATAACAAACGTACCGATGTATAGTGCTGCCACACTTGAGCTCCTTAGCAACCACCTGTTCCCTATACTTAGACGCCATCTGTACATACTTCCGTTACGGTTGGCGAAAGCAACATTTTCCATCTCATTGTTTTACTCGGGTTTCAAGACCAAAAAAAAAAAACAAAAACGAAAAACAATTTATTGGATTTTATTAGTAACTTATTTCATTTAATTTTCAGTCATTCTTTGTATTTTACCAAATGCCTATGATGACATTTGATACATAATAATCAGTGGCGTAACTACCCAGTAAGTGAGCATTAATATCTGGGTTCAAAAAATATAATTAAAAATCAAAAGATACAGTACCCGTTATTTATTTTTTATTTGATTTGTAGGGGTATATGAATATTACATAATACTAAAATACAATTTTAAATTTGTTTTCTATTATTCAAATAATGACTTAGTCAGCTACATTTGGAGAAATGTAATTTAATTTTTATCGGAGTTAAATACTTACTTTATGCAATTTGACCGAAAAAAGAAATACTATTTCAAAGAGTCTGTTATATAAATCTCATAGACCAACCCAAATCGTTTATAAATCTTATTTAAAATAGCACTTATGGTTTGATATAACATATATTGATGTAACACTATTAATTTCATGATAAGAACTTATTGTAATTAAGATCTATTGGTGTAATATTTCATTGTAAAATCAAAATCAATACGTTTTTAAATTATTTAGGAATCTTTCATTATTTAAAAACGAGCAATTTATTAAAACAAATTCCTCTTACATTATTTGTTTTACTATTAATAAAATTAATAAAATAGTTGTATTTTTATTCTAGCTGTCGTGGACAATCGTTGCTATTTAGAAAATGGTGGTTCGGCAGAAAGCTTCTTTGTTTCCGAAGATGTACCAGTAGGATCTATTATTGGTAAAACCATATTTTTTAGAAATATTTATATTACAATTATATGGCTCAATATGCAATATTGATTATAGGCGTATTGAAGATAAATGGAGATACATCTGAAAATGGAAATATAAATTTATCACTAAAAGAAGTAGATAGTCCTATAACCATCTTACCAGGAACCAAAGAACTTAGTCTAACAAAGCTACTAGACAAAGAAGTATGATTACCAGTTATCATAAATATTACGTTAAATAACTCAATTCTTAACTTGTTGTTACTATAGGGTATTTCTGGACCATCTTCCGTTTATGTAAATATAATCTGTGAGCGGAAACATACAGCCGACCCAGTAAGTGTATTTTTAATTATTTAATTTTATAATGTGTAATTATATTATTTTAAAGAAAATGAATAAAACTTATACCCGTTTTAGAATTTTGCGATTCCCGTAAGCATTCGAGTTACTGACGCTAATGACAACGCACCAATATTTGTAAATGCTCCTTACGTTCTTAACATATCTGAGGTGAATATATTTCGTATTGAATTATTCGTTGATATCGACTTGAAATGATTTTAATTCAAAATTCTTTTCTCCTTAGGTAACTGTTGTAGGAACTAGAGTACTTCAAGGTATTAAGGCTGTCGACGCTGATCAACTTGGTCCATTTTCTACCGTACATTACACCGTACTCCCAGGACCACATTCTGTAAGTCCAATAAAATAATTATTAGTATGGTATAAAAAAAATGATGTATTCATATATTTAGATTATATAGTATTATAATGTACTCGTAGTGTAGTAATGTGTGTGAAATCAATCAGACCAAATTTCAGGGACCTAATTGGGTCCAAACACCTCCATCGAAATGTTTGATACTTCCAACCAAAATATTAATTTAATACTTATCAAAATAATTTTTTATATATTTTAAACCCTCCCCGAAAATAATATAAATACGGCCTTGAATGACTAATAATTTGATGGTTTGTAGTCTATAATTATTGCTGTTGTTTGATACCAAACAGATGTATAGTAATGAATGCGTAATTTATTTCATAATATTTTTAAACACAGCAATTACATCGATTGTATTTTATGCAGCTGATTTTTATAAATGGAAATAAAACAATTCTAGAGGTATGATATATATGTATATATAATAATTGAGCTCCTTGTCGAATATAATGATACTATGAAATAATTTTAATAATAATATGTGCAATGATAGAATAGTTTTTACATAGACACGTAGTTTATTGAAAATATGATACTAACTTAATCCATACGTGTAATTACAGGATTACTTCGTTTTCGTTAATGGCCTCGAAGGAACTCTAGTGTTGAGGAAAGCGTTGGACTATGAAACTCTTTCAAATTTTACAATTGGAATACGCGCACAGGTAATCGTTCAAGTTCTAACGTGTAGAGTTTTATATGAGTATTGTGACCACTGATCGTCAAGTGTACGTTTTATTTTAGGATCAAGGTAATCCACCACAATACACAGATACGGTCATCTATGTTAACATCATTGATGCAGATGATCAAAATCCGAAATTTTACGATGAAAGATATACAGCTACGCTGCACGATAATACTGTTAAAGTAATCATATTTTTGTTAAACCTTTTGGCTGAATATATTATCATACATATTTTCGTTCTGTTATAGGGTACAAAACTTAAAGTATTTCCTAGAGAAATCGCTGCGTACGACCAAGACCTTGGAATCAACGCGAATATATTCTACACTTTAAATCCTGGTGGGTATTGAAATTAGAATTTATTATTTTTTCTTTCGCAATAATATTCATATTTATGGTGACAACATTTAGATACCCAAGACTCTCGATACTTTGAACTGGATAGAGTTTCGGGTAGTGTTACCGTCAAACGTGCCATTCCAGAAGACGATTTGTTACAACCAGCCACTATGGTCATCCGAGTAAGTATTATTATAAAATTTTCTATGAACGTAGTAATCGTGAACATTATTAAAGTCTATTTTTTCTATTACAGGCCACACAGTTTGATAATGCTGATCGTTATGCGTTGGCCACGTTGACTATTAGCCGGCCAGGTACTTCGCTTCGTGAACTTCAGTTCTTACAAGACCACTATCATGCTGGAGTACTGGAAAATGTACCTTTAGATAGTGTCCTATTGACTGTGATTACCAATAAGCCTAAAGACAAGCGGTTGAAATATTGGCTAAGCAATTATACGGATATATTTTTGATTTCAATCAACGGTGATATAATTTTGAAAAAACCGCTGGATTATGAAACAGTAGACAATTATGTATTTTATGCTTTTGCCACCGACAGTTTTATGGTATATAATAAAATTATTAAAATAAAATTATAATAGGCTTATATCCTATTTTAATACTGTTGTATACTACTAAAGGTTCATAACCCGCAATCATTTTATTGTTTTCTTTTCAAGCCTAATTCGTAGTTGATTTATACTATTCCTAACCAAAGGGTAAAATGCATTCATATAATAAATGTTTATGCATTTATAATATAGATAGAGCCGGCGTGAGGGTAAGGCGACTCAGGCGGTCGCCTAGTGTGCCATTTTTAGAGGGGCGCCAAAATTGATTTTCACAATTTTGCACATGTGTCGGTAATATTATTATTATTATTTTTTTTTTTATATAAAACACTTATAACTTTGTATTGAAATATTGATAATTATAATGATCATTTCATTTAACCATGTATTAAAATAATATAAGTACATTTTAAATATATTTACTATAGTTTAGCATAGAAGTTTTTTTCATGTATGCTGCTCTATAAATATAAAAATTCTCGAATATTTGTTATCGTTTAATCGGGATCGCGTCAAGCCATTATAAATCGTGATTAAAAAATTAAACGATAGCAAAATATGTACAAGTTGAGCATATTGTATAATTTTTCCGTATTTCTGTTCACGATCATTTTTTTCTATGTATTACGATATTATATGTTGTATGAAAAAAGGTCAGTTGGCATATTGGCCTGGGACGTCATTTAGCCTTACGCCGGCCCAGAATATAGAGCTATTAAAAATGTAAATTGGTTTGAATACATTATGTATGTTAAAACTGTATAGATAAATAAACAATTATAGTTAAATAAAAACTAATAAATATAATCGAATGAAATTGTGAAATTAATGTATTCATAAAATATGTTATAAAATATATAATATAGATTTCAAAAACTAAATGGTGTTGGGTTAAATTAATTTCTACACATTTAAATATATGAGATTATTCAGTTTTCTGAACTTATGAGTTTGGCTGAGTATAAATGTTAATCATAATATAATTAAAATAATTTATATATTCAAATTTTAATTTAACAAAATTATTACTTGCAAAAATGATAAATATTAAATTAATACAAAAAGCTTAAAAAAAAATTTAAAAATCTTTTTTTTTCACTGTTCGTGTACTTTTTATAATTATAATTTATTAAAATAAATTATTAATAATTGGAATCTAGTATTTTTTAACCTGATTTTGAAACTGAGAGTACTTAAATATTTGATTTTACATACCTGTATAATTTTATATAATACTTATAAAAATAGTCCCTGAATCTAAAATGAAATAACTAATTCTTACCTTCAACTAGTATCTTAGTTATTACCTAAAATTAAAAATAACGGTCAGGTAAAGAAGTTGCATTTAAATCGGACGACCTTATGCTAAATTATTAAAACTTTTATGTTGTTATCATAGTGATATTCATTGCTTTTTATAATTATAAAATGTAAAAATGTATTATTTATTATTAAACGCAAATGCAATAATAATGTTTAAAGATGCAGTAATGTATATTTTTAATGAGATCAATTGATTACTTTTGAGGCGTAGAAATCAATGACAATATATAATGTATAATATATATGAATAATGTATCGTTGTATTTTAAAAGAAAACCAAATTGCTTACATTTATTTATTGTCTAATTTGGTTTAAATATTCATAATCAACCAATATATACTAAACCATTAACCAAAATATGTAATACGCCTACTCGTGTAAGTCAATAAACGGTTGACTAATTTTATAAATTATTACTTAAAAAAAAAAATAGTTCTATTTATAACACTTTTTTAAAAAATAGATTATCGTCAAACATAAAAGATAATGTACCATCATTTCAATTAATACATCTCCCAACTGATGATGTGGTTTATTATACTGATAGACGCAGTTATGTTTGAAACCATTTACGAAGTTCTTTACATTAGTATCCATTATAATCCATTTAGACTTATTGTGAACAGTTATATAATATTGTATTGTTTGTTTACATGTATGATTTGCAGAACACTTCAGCGTACATTAACATCACCGTACTAAATGTTAACGATTGGGATCCGAGATTCCGGTACCCACAATACGAGTTTTTTGTGCCAGATATATCTCTATCTCAATTACTTCCGGGCACGGTGATTGGTAAGGTGGAAGCGGCTGATGGCGATCGTGGAGATCGTGTTAGCTTAGCATTACGAGGCCCGGAATCTAAGTAAATAATAGATCTATAATCATTAAAATAAATAAATAACTTAATACCATTATTCTGTATAATTCATTACTAGGATTACATCACCATTTTGTGAAACCAGTGGTGTCGCCAGAAAAATATTTTAGAGGGGGGTCCAAATTTTTAATTCTTTCCTATTTCAGTACCAACTTTTTTGTTTTAATAAGTCGAGTTTTAGTTTTAAGAGTTTTAATAAATTCGAATATAAAATGTGTTATAATTTCGTTTATTGAAACTGTTAAAATTGTTTAATGATGACATAATATAGCATTATATCTATGTCATAAAATTATTTTATATTTTACAAAACAAGAGACATTTCGAGGGGGGAGGGTTATAACCCGTTAGCCCTCCCCCTCTCCTGGCTACGCTACTGGGCGGAACCATCACGATCCTTTTGTCGTAACGCGTAAAAATAACATTCGTATTTCACAGAATGTTTGCAATTGAAGATTCGGGAGACATCGTTCTGGGCGATCTGTCAGATCTAAACACTTCCACCGCACACTTGGTAGCCGTGGCCACCGACACTGGGATACCTCCGAGACAAGTAGGTCCCCGTGGTTCAATGTCTGTAACACGAGTCTCATGCCGCCCGTCGGTATTATTTTCTAGGCTTCGGTGCCCGTGATCGTACATTTACCTGATACTATTGTCAGGTCTGCCGGCCGGACGTCCGCTAACAGTTACACTCTGTTTGTGATATTCGGAGTTATTTTGAGCGTACTCAGTCTAGTTATAATCGCGCTGATCGTTCACATCCAAAAAAAGTATTTTATTTAAGTAGTTCAATCACAATAGATAACAACGTTGACACCTGTTGTCGTTTGATCGTTGCAGCAAACAACCGAAAATTGGCGCCGCGACGAATTTTGATGTCCGTAACAAGTTCGAAGGTTTTAAGCGCACTAATCCTATTTATGACGAGAAGCGTTTAGTCGGGGTCGGCACTAAAATGCAAAATCCATTGTTCAATCCTAAAGAAGACCTAGCTGATCCGTTGTACACTGCCACGGTTAAAAGTTAGTACCTCTACCTATTATTCTATTGAATCATATCAATAGTTTAATGATAAATAAATATTATTTTCATAAAATCAAAAACATTTTTAACAGTTATGGAACGTTTCATTAATTAGATCTACTTAATTACGAATTACCGTGCGCTATTAATTAATTACTATGCACTGATTATCATATGTTTGACCATTAATTGTTTTCACAATTTTCGTTAACAGCAACGAGAATGTTCCCAGGAACGACCAATGGAAATGGTAGAGCTAAAATGGGCGCAGTACAGCAAACGCTACCTCGGTCTAGGCATAAGTTTCCTGCACCAGCGCCACCACAAATACCCAAGGGTGGTGGCGGGGGTCGATCCCCAGCTGGTTCTTCAACCACTACAACGACAGCTACTCCAAGTCCAGTGAACAGATTTTCTCGAGTGCCTCATTGGCCGACTGAGGCAATTCCTAGACGAGTTAAGAAACTCAGCTGGGATGATCGTAACTCGTGTGCTCACATGACGGTAAGTAAAGTCATATTTAGTGTTTATGGATTTAAAATGTCGCCGAACAACTAGGATTTGTTCATAAGTTTTAAGATTTTTTTTTTTATTACATAATGTTTTTATTTTTACTTAAAACAGCTAAATTTTCTAACGCAAAAATTAATATTTTTTTGTTTAAATAAATGAGAACGAATAACTTTAAAAATAAAATTATCGTTACGTCCTTGAAAGCAAATGTTAGCGCATTTGAGTGATTTCGGTTAACATGTTATTACAAAAAACTTACTTACGTTAATAACTTGTAAGTATATCAGATAAATTAACGAGATTATCAAAGCATATCGTTTGTGCATCTATTATACATAATTGGATCATAATTCCATGTTATAAATTGTTGACTTCCGAAACGCTAATTACAAAGCAATATAGCTATGAATTATTTTGTAAACGAAGACAAATTTATTATTAAAATCAATATAGTTTGACACAATAATGTATTATAAGATATATCTGTTTATAAGAATTAACGTTACTTTTTTTTATTAATAGATTTTTGAATTTCGCGCGAGGGTTTTTGTAGTAGTTATAATATGTTATTTTGATGTGTAACCAGTGGCGGGTCGTGAGATTCACATAAGGTGGTGCACAAATAATTTGAACGATACCTATATAGGCGGGTAAAAAAATATATTAATTTTATTGTAGGTATGGGTAAATATAACATACTTATTAACATATAATTTTCTCAAGTTCTCAAAGCTCTTCGTTACGATAAAATAAATATAAATAGGAAAAAATAACTTTATAAGACATAAACCCAAAATCTTATTTCCACAATTGACGCCATACATAGAATGATAAAAATTAATCCGGTGCGCACATCGATTGTACTCCAAACGACCATGTATTACTAACGGACGTGTCTACGCATGTAACTTTAGTACGACTGACCAGAGCACAACAAACATGTGCTCCGTTTATTAATTTAATCGTTAACAGATACACTTCTCACTACGAAAAATTGTGAAAACTTTATTTTTATCAGATATTCTTGTTAATTACAGACTATGTGTACGACTATAATTTACTATAGGAACCTAACATTTTTTTTATATCATTTTTTTGGATGATTCACGTGCTCCTGTGCACCGTAGCACGAGCCACCACTGTGTGAAACTATATTTTTTTTATTTATAATCTAGTAAAATTTTTCAAAAATATTAATTTATTTTCCCGTCATTTGTTGCTTGAGTTTTAAAAACTTGTTATATTTTCACAGCAATTTATATGTACATTAAACAACACTTGGACCAGAGTATTAGTTAATAATTTGGTATAATGTTAAAAAAAATTGACTGTTTAAAAAATGTTTAAGTTTTAAATTTTTGGGTTCATTTTTAACGCTCCTCGAAAAATAAAAACTATTAATATTCATTAATTTTAATTTATATTAATCGGGTATTAATAATTTCTAAGAAACTATTGAACAGTAGAAGTATTTTTACTTTAATTTTATCCATACATAATGGTAACTATAGAATGTTCATACATTTATTTAAATAATTACTATTTTTTATCTACATAATATTCGTAATCCAAATATTCGTAAATTTATAATGGCAAACGATAACCTTGACCTACGTTCGAAAATATTATTTTTATCTTATAACAGACACGACCTGTCCTATAATTTTCTTTTATTATAGTTGATAACACATATTAATATTCCATTGTTGAAAAATAATGCTATTCTTGGTGGGTGAGTATAAAATAAAAAAATTTCGTTTTATTCATAGTTAAACTCCTTGACCTTGTTACACATATTGTTTACCCGGGTAACGATCAATCTGTTGAACAAACTTGTAAATCTATATATATTTTAACCATAACTTATTATACACACTTATAGTTATTATAGCAGAGGGTTTGGAGTTAATAGAGAAATGTCGAATGTTCTCAAAAAAATTAACATAATTGGTAAAATATCTTTATTCAAATTTCAAATCAATAAATAAATCATAAATTAACCAGTAATGTATAAATTTACGTCGTATAATATAATACAATATGATTAACATAATTTATTTCTTCTTTTTTTTTTTGTACAGCGCGAGATCGACCCAAGTGTCAGTGTAACTCCAGTCGAAGAAACGAGAAGAGAAGACAACTTAACTGTATATTTTTAGAATACCGGTAGTTTGAAATTAAGTTAACGTATATTGTAAATTTAATTAATTTTAAAACATCTTTTTTAATGTCCTAAGTAAAACAACTATGTGATAAGATCAAAATTATAACATAAGAATATTTATTATTTCGTCTATGTTATAAACATTTCATTAAATTTAACTCTTATAAACATATACTATTTGTATAAAAATAAATATGTAGATTTTTTTTATGTACCTAATTTTATTACATTACTCGAATATTTGAGTCTCATATACGGACTGAATCTTATAAAATACGATATCTACTATGTTTAATGTTTCAATCATATAAAATTGCTGTTCATTAAAAAAGAAAAACACATTTTAGATCTCCGAATTTTTATTTTTTTTATCCTATTCTATTAATGTATATTTTAATTTATATGAAATCGTAAATCGTATTGCGTAAGTTTTGTAGATTTATATATGCGTATGAGTAATTGACAAGAAAACTAAGAGTTGTTTTCGACTATTGTGTATATCTATTACGGATGGATCTTAAATTAATAAAATTCAACTTTTTATTAGTTTTTTGTTTGAAGTTTTGTTTATAGTAACTGACGAAAACACGATTAGTAACCACTTTAAAGCATAAAGTACTTTGTAGAAACTATAAATTTTCTATTGAAATTCCAAATGGTATACATACATGCAACTTTTATTGTAGTATTATTATTTGCAAACAAAACACAATTGGTTATAGTCTAGTAGTACTATTAGTAGTATTCAAATGCAAAATATATAAATTCCTGTTTAAAACTTAGATTACATACATTATATTGTTGCAATAATAAATGAGACTATGATAAACTATTGTAAACTTTGAACTTATACATATAACGAAGAATCATTTCCTATGTATGAATCTGTATTGAACTAGATTATGAAAACGGTTTTAATAATAAGTAATTAAAACCGTTTAAAAATTATATTTTATGTAACTTCCTAAATACCGACCTAAATTGCGTATTATTTTAATAATTTGATTATTTTTTTCTTTAGAAATATAATTTTCTTTTTAATGTATAGTTTTAATAATGGATTCAACACGATTTAGCACTCAAACGATTGACGTCTGTTTAAAGTTGGATACCTATATAAGTCACAGTATCGCGTGACCGGGTGTATAATATCGAATAAATTGTTTGAGTACCTACCTACTAAACTTTCTAGAATTCACAATGCTCAAGTATTAAACTTTTATTTTGAAAAAATAAATAGCAATTTTTTTAAATAAACCTTATGCTTAAGGTACCTTAATATAATAGTGACGAACGTTTTTAATAACAATTCAAATTGGTATAATATTTGTGCACATATAATACAATCGCGTTGTTCAACGTATATTGATGTTTATATTTATGGTACTTTGTACTACCTACCTATTATTTTTTTTTCATTTTTCCACTCACAATAGCATGAGGTATACCTATCTAAAACGTAACCTACAATTTATACGTTTAGTATATACGTAAAATATAACACACGAACCAAATAATCAATGTGTGAACACGAACGGTTTTTATAAATCTGAATAGAGAAACTATACATTGCAGTTTAAGTAAAATCATAAATAAAACCTTAATTCTTATCGTTCGAACCATAAATTAAATATAGGTACAAATAGATATATTTAAACTTTGAAATATGTAACATTGTTGTGTACCGATACTGTAAAATGCCTGCATTTCGTTTGGTTATTTAAAACTGTATCCGAAATCATTTGGTAACCAAAATATTGCGAACGCGGGGTGCAAATAACATTTAAACTGAAGTTAAAGAAACAAATTAGGAAGTGTAGAATATAACAACGGTATATACGGTCAACATTGAAATCACTTGTATCCTTTGTACTGTTTCATAACATTTGAAAATGAGCATTGAGCCATATAAATAAGTGTACGCATACTTTTACTCGTAGGCATTTTCTTATAATAATATTTTTTTTAATTAATGTTTTGTATAAATACTCAATCGTATCTAGTATAAGAGTATATACAATGCGCGTTCACTGTTCAGTTTAGGAAAAAAGATTATAGTAATGAACATTTATCTTTATAAGTCTTGGGTATATGTGTAATACATACCAAATTTTTTTTTATTTTTTATTACAGGCGCATTCGATTTTTCACTATTCATACTATTGCGCAAGATTACCGCATAGCGCAATTTTACTAACCCATTTATTTGTTCTGAAAATCGATGTAGAAAAGTAACCTTATTCGGTAATAAAGAACATTTGCAATCGTTTTAAAATAACCCAGAACTAAATTATCATTTTCTCAAAAACATTTTTCTATTAGAATTCGATTAGAATACATTTTTTTTACATCAGGCTAAACAGCTAAGGAAACTTTTAAATACTTTAATCGATGGGCTAAACTCGTAAGCGGAAAAATAATTTGCTCATTGATATTATTAACTGAGTTTTGCTTCCCTAACCAAGACTTAGATCAACTATTTATAAGTTTCACAGGTTAGGTGCTACATTGTTTTTATTATTATTTATTTATTTATTTATTTTTTGAAAAAGGATTTTTAATTATTTTCAAAATTAAGATAAATCATTTACCTAAATGCCACAGTTAATAATTTTTCAATTGAATCGTTTTAATGTATATCCAATTTGTGATGACACGTTGTATTAGAAAGTTTTTGAGTCTGAAATTTCAAACCAGGAAAATTACTTGAAATGAAAATCAAAATAAAACATTAATAATTAAATAATTGTAATAATTTGACAGTTTTAAACACGAAATTATTCGTTTCAGTATTTCCCTGGTTCATGAACGAAACAATTAAAAAGTTAAATAAACTTAACTCATGAAAGTCCTTCGTCTTTAGTTAGGACCAGGCACGCAACCAGACATATTTCTATAAGGGGGCCAAGATTTTTTGGCCCCTTTCTGTAGTTGTGTTTATCAAATGTGCGTTCGATATCCGTGTTTGGAATTCCTAGTTTACAATCTATTAATACACGTACTATTGTCTTATCTCAAATTATCAAGTGATGAATATTTATAAAACAGAATCTTAGAATTTAATTTTTGTTAAACGATCGTTAATTATATGGAATGGGCGCATGTAAACTCCGCCACAAGTACCTTTTTTTTACTGTAAACTCCACCAGAAAAATAAAACAAGTATAATTGGGTTCATGTTAACTCCGCCATTAAAAAAAAAATCAGGTAAAATTGAGTAAATGTAAACTCCGCCAGTGAAGAAAATCGAGTAGTAGTATAAAATTAATATGATATATTATTAAAAGTAATACGTAATAAGTAATAATAAGTGAACATTATTATTATAATATTATATAATATCATACCTCCATTTTATTTCACCAGACGCATATTTTATATTTTGGTTGTATTTGTAGTTGTTAAATAAAACCAATAAATTGCCTCGTTGACCAGTAATTAATTTTATATTAGTACTTTTTTGCGACATATTTCGTTCAATATAAAATATACATGGAGACATGCAGACTACGAATGATTATGTTTGTCAAAGTATACTTTACGTGTACCTTACCTACTGCTGATATCATCATTGAAAATATTAATTTCAGATAATATGAAGATAAATGTATTAATAAATGAATCAATGTGGATATATCCACCTTGAAATGAATCAAACCATGACAATAATTTTATCAATTTCGACATACATCATCGCAATAGATGTCAACGTATTTGAGGTGAGAAGGCACGTGACAATGTGAGCACTGAGCAGGTAAACAAAAAAAAAAAAAAAAACTGACGAAGTTTACATTAGACCTTTTATTATATTTTTATCTTAACCGATATTCTAGCGGAGTTTACAATCGCCCAAATGGAAATACATTCAGGATTTAGCCGGTTTGGGACAACTAAACACCATAATATTTAAAAATCAAAATTAAGGGAGCCAGTTCGCGGCCACTGATTTTTCTTAAGGGGCAGGCCCCCTGAGGCCCCCTCTCCTTGACGACGTGCCTGGTTAGGACATTCGATTGCGTATATTTAATCGATTCGAAAGCTGACGGGTTTTCTTTGAAAACATTTTACCGCAAGTTGTTGCAACAACGATTGCAACGTCCTATGCTTCGATTATATGTAGTGCGGACACGGTAAATTCTTATTGGTTTTGCTGGTAGCACTGGTTCTCTTATCCGTTCGGTGTTATCAATTGGTTTTCGTGCAGTTGGTCGTCGGTTAAACCGACGACAGACGGACGGACGTAATGAAGTAGAATTCAAAGTTCTGCTGGCTGCTTAGATTAGTCATTCGTTTCGCGTTCTTCTCCGTCGTCGTTCGTCTGTCGTTCTTTGGTCCGTCTTAACTCTAATTTATATTTAACAACGTTCGCCATGGTGAAGAAGTTACTGGAACTCACTTCTGTGCTTGCCAAGTCCACATTGGCTTCCAACCGCCATTGTAAGTTTAACAATAATTACAGTTCTATAAAATCAAATCCGACGTCCATCTGCTGTTGATCATTATTTCGTACATGAATGCTCTATTCTGCTATGCTACACTTCTAGTGTTGTACCCATTTCATAAAATCGGTGCTACATACTATAAAGTCCGCTCTCGTATACAGTTGTAAAATGTCTATTCTTTGTTTGTGGACAACAGCCAAAACTAATTTAGTTTTTATTCGTGTAAAAACTAATTTTTTCCATAATATAATAAACTTTAATACAATTTATTATATCATGATTTTTCCTGTCTGGTTATATAAATATTACAAACCTAATCAATACACTACATATTAATTATCTGTTTTCAGTTTTATTAGTTTAGAACTCGGTTAATTTTTAATCAATTGGTTATATTTTTATGCTTTGTAAATTAATGATTTGGTAACTAGAACAAATCTATGTATCTCATAGTCCTTTGCAGGACCGGCCCAAGGTATAGGCGAGCTAGACACCTGCCTAAAGCGGCACTTTAGTAGAGGCAGCATTTTTAAAATTGACTCGAACATTTTTTTAGTTCTATTTGTGTTTTATGAGAAAAATATTTAAATGAATTCATTTGTGAAAATCACTTACCTATATAATAAAATAATATTGTCTATAGTTATTATCTCGATTATTATATTACTATATATTACGGTCTACGCTGGGCGTTTTCCATTATTCAAAAAATATAAATGACCACATATCCGATAATCGCGGTAGTGATGGGTTTTGAGTAATAGTTATAGAAATCATTTTTAAGTCTTTTTATATATAATTTTATCCATAAAATGAAAAATTAAAAAAAATTTTAAGTAGATATGTCATAAAAAATAGGGGAACGGGTTAAGTTAAAATAAGAACTCAATTTTTTTGTTTGAGGCGGCAAAATTTGATTTTGCCTAGTGTACTATTTTTGCTTGAGCCGTCCCTAGTCCTTTGTTATATTGCATTTATAAAAGTTTTAAAGTTTGTACATATTAAAATTATATTCTTTATACTTTTCCATTTTAATGCGATTTAAAGGATGTTGATTTTATTTATATTCAGTGATATTATATATTTTAATTTTTTCATTTATAGACATTTTTACTCTAATGGAATATATTTATTTTTTCTTATTTTTTGTGGTTTTAAATATATTAACATTCTTACACCAACAGTTTATGGAAATAGTAATATTTTTAAATAATTTTTTTTGGTTCTAATGCCTCAAAATGTTTCTTTTAATTATTAAAAATATTATATTTAAGAAATAAAAAAAATGCATTAAATATATTTTGATAGATATAAAATAAGTTGCTTACTATTTAGTAATTAGTAATCTTATAAAAATAAATAAATACATATTAAAGTATTTTGATCCATTGCTTTATTAAATAAAGATAAACTCGTATAATTCAAGCATAAAATACATTAATGATTATTAAATAAAAGAATGTTAACATTCACCTTATATTTTACATACTTAAGTAATACTATTTGAGTAATATTATAAATTAATAGTTTTATCTTTTTTAAAATATTTTTTTTTTCTGATAAGATTTATAGATACAAATAGTTCCGGAACTAAATTATGTAATTAATATAATAATAGCTTGGAAGACTAATGTATTACTTGGGACAACCCAGAAGTTATAGTATCAGCTTATTAAATTATGCAATTTGAAGTGTTACTCAAAATAGGTCAATAAATTCATATTTGATTATGATAATAGTTAATATTGGTAAATACTTGAAATATATTGGAATATAATTTTGTTTACTTAGCTAATTTTCAAGTCTTATGATTTGAGCATTTAAATAATTTAAATAACTACATTTTATTAACTTCAATTTTCTTTAATTTGCTACAACATATTTATTATTAATAACAAATTACTTTCCATTGTAATTCAATTTTTTTAATTTTCTCTAACAATAAATATTGTCAGTGTATGATCAATACTTTTTATGTTAAAAAAGTTAAATGTTCAGGAAAGACTAAGATATATTAATAAAATACAATTTTATTAATAATTTTTTTTTTTAATCAAGATAATAATCATTTTTTCTTTCAGATATTTAGTATATCTTAGTGTATTATTATTATATTATTAATAATATTTTACTAATTACATTTTAAAATTTAAGGCATTTTGCTTATCTGAACATTTGAATTACATATTTTATAGATTAGTGTTTCCTGGTATTTAACTTTTTTGAGATACAAGGTATTGATTGCCCACCGACGATGTACTATTTATTATTTTTTATTTATTGTGTTATATTTAATTGATTTAAATATAATAGATTTTTAAAAATTGTTTTTTTATTTATTTTTTCTAATGTTTCAGATGCGACTTCAGCAAGAATTGTTGCTAAAAATCCAGTTGTTGAAATGGATGGAGATGAAATGACTAGAATTATATGGGAAAAAATAAAAGAAACCTTAATATTTCCTTATATCAAAGTTTGTTGTACTATTTTTATTTTTTTTTTTGTTTTTTTATTTTTAATTCATTTGAATTTATAGCTTGATTGCTTATATTATGATCTTGGTCTGCCTCATAGAGACGCAACTGATGATCAAGTAACTATTGATGCCGCTGAAGCTACTTTGAAATATAATGTAGGCATTAAATGTGCAACAATAACACCAGATGAAGCTCGTGTTAAAGGTATACTAACGTCTAAAGTTAAAATATTTTATTCTACCATTATTTCAATGTGTTCATTTTGCAGAATTTAAATTGAAAAAAATGTGGCTTAGTCCTAATGGTACAATACGTAATATTCTTGGTGGAACAGTGTTCAGAGAACCAATCATATGCAAAAATATTCCTAGATTAGTACCTGGTTGGACTAAACCTATTGTTATTGGCAGACATGCTCACGGTGATCAATACAAAGCAACTGATTGCTTAATAAACAGGCCTGGCCAAGTATGTAACTTTAACTGTTATCCAAAAATAATATTTAATTAATGTACTTAATTATTTATTTATTAGTTGGAGTTGGTTTTTACTGATCTTAAAGGTCAAGTGGAGAAGCTTAAAGTGTTTGATTTCAAATCATCTGGTATTGCATTGGCCATGTATAACTTAGATGACTCAATTGCTTCATTTGCTCATTCCAGTTTTCAGGTTTGTATATATATATATATATATATATATATTTATACATGATTATTAAATTAACATAATTAACAAAACAACATTGTTATTTTTATTATGAAATTTGTATTAAAAGGTTGCTTTGTCAAAAAAATGGCCTCTTTATTTGTCCACAAAAAATACTATACTTAAGAAGTATGATGGAAGATTTAAAGATATATTTCAAGAAATATATGAAGCGTTAGTAAAGTCAAAATGATCTATTGGTTTTGAATAAAATTATTTAAAAATATATTATGTATATTTTTTAGAAACTATAAATCTCAATTTGAAGCTGCTAATATTTGGTATGAACATCGTTTGATTGATGACATGGTAGCGCAGGCTTTAAAAGGAGATGGTGGTTTTGTTTGGTCTTGTAAAAATTATGATGGTGACGTCCAGTCTGATATTATTGCTCAAGGATATGGTTAGTGAATTTTATTTTATTGATAGTTTATTTTTAATTAGTTAATTGTTCAATTATTTAGGTTCTTTGGGTCTTATGACATCAGTTCTTGTATGTCCTGATGGTAAGACAATAGAATCAGAAGCTGCCCATGGAACAGTTACTAGACATTACAGGTAATAAAATATATTATAATTTTAGATACATATATATTTACTCTTATTTTAACGTAAGACAACACCAAGAAGGAAAACAGACATCAACAAATCCAATTGCTTCAATATATGCTTGGACTCGAGGTCTTAATCACAGGGCAAAGCTTGATAATACTCCTGAACTTGTCAAGTACGTTAAATTAACATTAGCTATTTTTGTTTGGTAACTTATCAATCTGGTTTTATAGATTTTGTAATACACTTGAAGAAGCATGTATAGAAAGTGTTAATGCTGGAAATATGACTAAAGATCTTGCTGCCTGTATTCATGGCTTAAAAAATGTGAAAGAAGGAATGTACTTGAACACAAACGATTATTTAGATAGCGTAAAAGAGCATTTGGACAAAAAATTGAAACAGTAAGAATTTATTGTGAGACAATACAATTTAATGTGTAACCTTGTAAAGTATTAATGACATTTAGGAGTGTTTTAATTTAAAACATTAATTATTGTCGGATAATTTTTTTTTATAAATTGGATTTAAAAGAATTCTTTTTTTGCACCAATTTTTATTCTAATTCTTCTATAATTTGTCATAGTTAGCCATGTTAGTTATGTAATTGTATGATTTATAGTTTGGTGTATCTAGTTTAATTCCACCTAGAAAAAGACATTTTTTACAATTTATATAAAATGTTTAAATAAATTAAACCATGTCATAATTATATATACATTTATAATTTATTTATTATAATAGTTTATTATAAGACGGTTTACGAGGTTTCTTGTATAAAATCAATTTATTGTAATAATGATTTAAAATAATTGATTGCCTTGTTATATTTTAATAAATGTGTTAATTTTATTTAAATAGAAATTCAGAAATTGAACATGCTTAAAGAGTGAATTTTTTCCCTTGCTTATGCTTAAATATTTTTTCTACTTTTTTTTAAAATAACTTTTCTAACCTTATGATTTATTCCTGTGTATAGGGATACAAAAAGACTGTTTGCAACAATTGGTGCAGTTTGACAAGTCTTTGACCCTTAGCTGCAATTACAGTTGTTCCATTTTATATTTATTAATTTTTTATAATATGTGTATGTTTGAATAAGATAACAATTGTGTTTTTTTAATAACAGCACGTACTATTATAATTGTTAAATTCACTAATTTTGTGGCTTAATTTGACATTATAATCAATATAATTTTGCATTTTTTTCATAGACGTAAATATTATGATTTCCTGTAATTATTTCTTTGTACAATTTAGTAGATGTTAACAAGTTATAACTGAGAAATTTGGATAATATCTGATATTTTATTTTAATTCCATTATAATTAATGTGATAGGTTTACATTCTATAATTATAATTTTGTATTACTTATATTTTCTATTATATATTTGAATAAAATGTTTCATTAGGTAATCATAATCCATAAAAGTCAAAATATATTATTTGACTAAGCTCATGCCTAAGCTGCACTTAGAATATCATACATCCAACTATGCAATACCATAGTTTTATTTCTTGGATACTTTCTAAAAAATGAATGCTTAATTATGATGTTGATATGTATTTTTAATATTAGTCATTGTTATTCATAAATTTGTTGCTATTTTATAACATTATGTTCTCAAAAGTCTTTGATACGGGTTATTTTAGTTTTTTTTTAAAAAAAAAACTAGTTGTGTTCATTTATTCTTATGCTCAAATTTAATAAATAGTACTATTGTAAATGATAAATGGTATTGTGCTAGATTACACTATACTTATTTTTTGTATTCTATAAATCTTTGTATGGAGTTATCCAATAAATGTTATATTTTTTTTATAAATTATATAGTTCGTTATCCTATAAGTACAGAATGTTAATGTTATGAATATTAACAAACTGTAAAAGCTATTTTTGTTAAAATTACATATTATTTTTATATTGTTGAGATTTCCTTTTGCATGCATATGAAATATTGTAGAATTGTGAAGATCGTTATTTTATTCAAATATATGTTTATTTATGAATAATTTAATTGCATATTTTTTCTGCGTTTATTGGTATAATTCATAACTACTCATTATTGTTCCTAGATAAACAAAGAAGAATATTAGAATATACGTGATGTTTAAAAATATGAATACTATATTAAATATTGCAGTTTAAAATCTTGCTAAAGACTACTGAGAATTATTGTAAATACCTAGTAAATATTATATCTATTCTCAATTTTAAAGTTTTTATATGGATTAACGAATACCTAATTTTAATGTACGTGTTTTGAATTATGTTTTTCTTTAACCAAAAAGTAAATGTAACATTGATTAACATGATTATGCATATATTTAAATATGTTGAGTAAATTTATCCTGTTGAAATAATAGCTGTTCCTATGACAATGTTTGCAGTACAAGTTGACAACTAGTATGGCATTGATTTTCATTACTGTGCAATAACCATCATCAAACAACAAATATGTGTACTTGTGTTGATTACAATTCTTATTAATATACATATGTACAATTATTACTAAAATGAGGGAATGATAATAATAATACTAATACACAGTACAAAGAAATTAATTGACTAAATTATTATTTTCACATTGAAATAGATTTCTTTAAAGTTGAAAAAATTATCACACCTTTAACACGGCGAAATAAAATAAACTGCAGAAAATTTAGTTTTTTTTTAATGTTATTCAATAACATAACTATCTACAGTATATCAGTTGCATACAAGCGGCTAATATTATAAGTTCTGCATTCCTTACATTGTTAAATGAAAATTGTCAACGTCTAGACTTTTACCAAATACCTAACTTCATTGTTTCCTCCGCTATGTTTGAATACAAGCACTAATGTATTACCATGAATAATGAATATACATTAATGCTAAGCCATTTAAACGTTGTGGTGTTGCAATGCCATGTTTTCATTCTTTTAAATGAGTTAAATGACCTTTTAATGCTGTGTGTAGGCAGTCAAGAGGAGAAGGTATGGTTTGTATTATAATACGATTTTGTATTGAAAGTAGGAATGTTATTTCATCTAATAACTGTAAGAAATCCATATTGCTTTCAATTTATTATTCTTATTTTTTCGTAGTAAGAATTTCTTCTTTTAAATTGTAATTTAGAATAATGTTTTTGTATCTACTTTATAATTTTTTACACGTTTTACGAGTACTTAAGTATCTTGGACGAAAAAATAAATAAATTTTTAAATTATCATTGTTTGCTTTCTCACTTATTAATTACATTAAATCTATTGTTAAATTATCCAAAGATATGATAGGATTCGATGAGATGGATAAAATGCGTTTTGAAACTATATATATAAGTTAATATAATTTATATAATGCTAAAAAGTTAAAATAAAAACTTGGTCCTTATTCTCGGGGTACTTGTTTATTCATATCACTACTGCAGATAGTGAGCAACGATTCACTATTTTATCTTGGTCAATAATTACTTATTAAATGTATATAATAAGCAATATTAACTAATATAGTTTGATATCTATAAAAATTAATTTAAATTCAAGCTGTGTTCATAAATTAGGTACCTACTTTGGTGAATTATAATTTAGTATCATCGTAAGATAAAACACTTCAAAATAAAAGTTTTTTTGTATGGTTAAAAGTTTCTTCTAATTATCATGTAAAATCTAAAAGTTATTATTATTTTGTCTTATTCTGTGTTAATATATCACATTATTTTACAGGCAGTGGCGTAACTGATGGGGGAGGTACGATGAGTGATCACCTCCCTTGGAATTTTTTATTGTTGATGTCTTAAACACAGTTAAGCTCATAGCTAATAAAATAATCTTGTATTTTAACTCGTGATATTTTTAAATCCCCTTCCTCTTAATTGAGCTCCAACTACGCTACTGGTTGCAGATGATTATCGTTCAAATAGAGTGGATTGATTTGTGATTATTCTTTCATTAGAATACATTATTACTCAAATAAAATCAAAAAAATATGTGGACGAAGAACCCATTCGTAAATTATTTCAATCGCTTATTATTAGCATTATCATCAACATTTTTTAAATTTAATAATTTGTCATTTGTGCTAATAACTCGCCTTAATATCTTGTATAGAGTCCCTCATAAATCATACTATTGTAGTGCTGGGGTTTTGAGCAGATGGTGTTTAAGAATTCTTTGAAAACCAAAATGCCAAATTATTGTTCATCTCGTTAATTTATTTTGCGACTCTGGAAAATGTAAAAAATGACTAGTTGTATAGGTTCAATTTTTTTTTATTTATAGAACTGTCGTATAATCATTTTTGAGTTTTTTAGTGGTTTAAAAAACTGTTTCTTAGAAAATATCTTCGTTCTCTTTGTAACTTACTACGTCGTTAACTTTAAACAAGGAGCACTTTACGAAAAATTAGGAATTGAAGAAAGTTTCCTTTTTTCTCATTTTGGGTTATTAAACAACTATTTAAAAGTAAAACTTGAAATTACAATTCATACTCAATACTTGAGAACAAAATTATGTTTAAACTACTTTCGTAACCGTATACTAATCGTATATAATGTTATGAGCAAGATAAAGTGTATATAAAATAAATATGAGTAAAATATATGGCCCAAGCTAACTTGTCTTAGGCCCTATACCCTTCTGGTGAAAACGTTGGTAGCACCAACGGTTGTACATAGGGCATATTTTTAATATTATACAGGTATTTAATAGTTTATCATAATGTATATATTGTTATAATATTTCAGTTTAAAGAACAGACTTTAATATTATGCAATTTTAATGTGATACCTAATAGAATATCGAATATAACATAAATTACTAAATTACACAGATCAAATCGCAAGTACCTACCTTTCTATTTCAGCATATTTGATCGCTTTTCATATCATTGAACATAGGTACATGTTTTTAATATTTATAGATAAAACATTCAATACACACTTATCACTAGGATTAAGATGGGTAATGTGTTTGTATTACTTGAACATAATAGCTATATTTAATTGAAAATATAAAAATTAAAACGAAGGCAGATATTTAAGTAATATTTGAATCTCGATAAACACTTTAATCAGGATTATATTTTATTTTAATACGCTTTGTTGGTAAGTATATTGAAGTTTGATATTAACAGTGTGCAGGGTCTAAGTATCTGTTCTTTGTTGCGTCATAATCAGTATTACTTGTATAGATTTAAAAGCAATGATAAATTATCGCATATTGAAATACGATTCTGAGCGAAGGTCAGTGTAAATGATCTTTAAATATTGAATATCTGATCTTACATGATTGTAACTCAAAGATGCAATGAAAAAAATGTATTTTTACGTTAAGACAAAAAGTCTTATAACACAAATAATTCTACTTAAGCAGCAATTTTATTTAAATCTAAATTGTTGATATAACTTCACTTAAAATGTGGTCGAGAAAATAATCAATAATATTCGTGAAAAAAATCTGTTATTTTTATACATATGCTATACTAAATTAGATACATTATTTTTTATATTAGTATACAAATATACAATAGGTAAATTGTAGGTATATATTATTAGAAAAAAATTGCTGGGATCAAATATTCTAAAGTATTTTTACTTGAGTACCTAAATGGCTTACATACTTGGACTTCATTAAAATTATCAGGTTAACTGACAAAAATGTACTTATCGAATAAAAAATGCGTGGAGGGTGTACTTTTTATGAGACATATAACGTGAGACTTTTTGCGTGCATTGAGGTAAATTAGGATATTTTCATGGACACTTAAACTTGGTCGGGTGTGATTTAAAAAATATATTTTTTCGTGTTACTTAAGATAGTACTGTCATGTTCACCAAATTTTGTTTTAGATTAATGAACGCAATACGGAAAATAATACAATTTTTTCAATACTATCACAACAAGATATGTTCGCCGTTATTATTATTACGTATGCAGGTACTTATACAACCAGCAATTGTCGTACAATTTTCATACTGTATAACTAATGATTATTGTATTTATTTATACTACGCATCCCGGACAATTATTCAATTAATCCATTGCCGGTACCCATATCGAGTTATTGGTCGTAAAGAATAGGTTTCGTCAATAATTAATGTTAGCTGTACCCAATAGTGTTTACATGCATTTCAGTTTTTGAATGAACAATATCAATATAACAAATTGTTCGTGAAGTATATTCGATGGCATAATTCACTTATTATGAAAAAAAAATCAAACGTAATTTCGACGTTTATGCGTATTATGCATGAGTATGTAAAATGTATATTTGCGTATAGATGTTGGTGTATTGCGTTTACCTGTGCACGTTATATGTTGGCTTGCGCGACTTGAAAGCAGACGACGATCGATTTAATCTTTAAGATAATTTTCAATTATTTTCATTGTTCATTTAATTTATTTGAACACTTAAGTGTCGTGTTGGTATTAATTCGATTATATAATTTAGGTACCCATCTATTAAATATATATTGATTTATATTATTTTAAATGCTTTTATACCATATGGTTATAGTATTACAGTTTATTATTATAATTAATTTTCGTTTAAAGTTCATTTTTGTACATTTTCCAAAAGTTCACTTTTCAGTTTTTATATTTTAATTTATCTTTCTGTGGAACAATACAACACGTTTCTCGATTTCCATATTCTGAATCAATGTTAAAAAAAAAAAATTATTATTAAATAATATAAATAAAAAAATCTTTTTTAAAATTTTTTTTTGCATTTGGCACGTAAAAAATTTTTAATCTCGGGATTAGTTAACATTGAATTGTAGATTATTTA